ACACATATATATATACACACACACACACACACAGAACATTTGTGTGTGTGTGTGTGTGTGTGTGTGGTATTGAGATTAAACCCAGGGCCACCTTCACACTAAGTGACATCCCTTTTTCACTTTTTGTGTTGCCACTGAGTCTCCCTAAGTAACCCAGGCTGGTCTCAAACTCTCAATTCTTCTGCCTCAGCCTTTCAGACTGCCGGGATTATGGGTGTATGCCACCATACCCGGCCAGAACTCAAACTTGATGGAGCACCCTGTTTTTTTGTTGCTTTTTTTGTGTGTGTGTTTTGCAGTACCAGGGATTGAACTCATGACCTTGCGCTTGCCAGGTAGGCACTTATGCCACTGAGCTATATCCCCAGCCCCGGAGCACCGTTATTTGCTAAATCTGGCCCCCATACAACTGGGCCTTCTCTACACATAGACACCCTGAAGCCCCTGGGGTGTGCTGTGGTGAGACTCATGGTCACCTTATGAAAACGCCTCCAAGGGATGCATGTGGTAACACACACCTTTAACTCAAGTTTAACCTGAGCTACATGGAAGGCTGAGGCAGGAGGATCACAAGTTTAAGGACAGCTGGAGCAATTTTGTGCCTCGCTGCTCTTGAAAATTAAAAGGATGGAGGATGTAGCTAAATGGCTGAGCACTTGCCCAGAATGACCGAGGCCCCAGAATCAGTAACTAGGACGGCAAAAAAAAACCAGTCCTTAGAAATTCACACTTCCAATAACTACCAGCAATGATAATCAAATTATAGGCTTATTAAAGAATTAGGGAGACTGCCTAAAAGAAATTACAAGATGGGGAGAAGGACATCACAGATTGGGAAGCTGGTAAACCATCAGCCCGAAGAAATGGGACTAGCTGCGAAGAACCAAAGACACGGCACACAGGAAACACCTGGGGTGCACGGGGTCTACAGAAAGGGCCAGAGGGCGCGCATGCGTAGAAAGGCGCTGGGCCACGAATGAGGGTCCGAATGGTCTAGGCGCACGCGCATTAAGGCTGCAGCGCGCGACCCGCGCACGCGCACGCCCACCCACCCGCCCGCAAAACTGACCAAACCAACACCTCAAGCCCCCGAACGGCCCCTTTCGCCAGTTACCACCCAGACCCCCGTCGCCACCACTGTTTCCTGTCCGCGGAAGGTTGGGGTGCAAAAAACCTGAGTTTCCGGGAGACGCTCACCTAGGGAGACTCGCGCGAATCGCTGCGTTTCACCAAGACCTAGCAACCGGCCCGCCCCGCGTGGCGCCGCAGGGGATGACGGGAGCGTAGGGAGGCAGGGCCGGAACTACAAGTCCCAAAGGCTACGCGCGCGCCCGCCGGGCTTCGCCAGTCTCCAGGCCGGTGCCACGTGAGCCGGTGAGAGCCAGGGTAGGTGCTTGCGGTAACCAGCAATGTGAGTTGCAGGTTCGACAATAGCCCGCGGCCAGGGAAAACTTGGAACCTAGACAGCCTTTGGGAAAGCAGAAGGACAAAGGGAAGGGGGCGCAACAGCTGTCTGCAATCGCTGCAAGAGCCCCATCCCCAGACATCAGTGGGGCCAGGTTGTATCGGAAGTGAACGCGGGCTGGAGTTTGGGCCCACTCCAGGCCGCAGTTTCCCCATCTGTGCAGTAGACGAAGGGGCCCCTTTGACTGCTAGGCAAGACATGTGCATTTTATGTGCAAGTCCAGTGAATATGGCCACCCCCTGTGGGTGTGATAGGTCACTACCAATTACATTTGGCAATGCATGGGGATTTTTTTTTTTTTTTTTTTTTTTTGCGATGGGTGTGCGGCAGGCCTTAGCGCTGAGCTACATCCCCAGCTATTTTTGGTTTTTAGGGGTTTTTTTCTTGTTTTTTTTTTTTTTCTTTCTCTTTTTGAGACAGGGTCTTGCTGCGCAGTTTGGGCTGCCCTTGAGCTCACTTTGTAGCCCAGGCTTGTCTCCAACTCGCAAGGATCCTCCTGCCTCAGCCTCCCTAGTGCTGGTATTACAGGAGTGTGCCACCACGCCTGGCTTCTTTTTTTTTTAAAAAAATTTTGAAGGACCGGGGATATAGCTCAGTGGCACAAGTGCCTGCCTGGGAAGTGGGAGGTCCTGAGTTCGATTCCTGGTACCAAAAAAAATATGGTATTTTAAATTTTGAGACAAGGTCTCGCTAAATCGTCTGCGCTGGGCTTGAACTTGTGATCGTCCCGCCTCAGCCTCCCGGAGTCCTGGGATGACAGGTGGGCACCACCACGCCAAGCTAGGAGCCAAGCGCAGGCTTTTGAGGGGACGCTCCAGATCCAAACCATAGTAACAGTTCATGGTCAGCACCAGGAAGTTGTGAAATCAGAAAATCCGTCCTCAGACCATGAGCTTCCAGACAGCAGGGAGCACCCTGGAGGTCACCCAAGGTCAGGCACTGCTGGCCGGACAGAGCCGAGAATGCACCTACCCCAGACAGGCGAGGGAATGCGCCCAAGGGACGGCAGGTTTTCTCTGGGCCTCTTCCTGGTCGTTGGAGGTGGGGACAAAGTCAGCGTTCCTAGTGCCAAGTTGTGCACTTTTGTCAGGCTGATTGTCCTGTTGACTTCCTGGAATTACACTGGGCTGGTTTTTGGGCCATAGGTGGTTCCCCTCTCTGTGCTGGCTCTGGGGTGGGAGGGACTTCCTTCAACTGCAGGGAGAAAGTGGTTTAGAGTTAGCTACACCCTGACAAGGAAGAAAATGTTGCTATCTTCCCTTCCCGGAGTTAAAGGGCACGTGACTGCCCTCAGAACCCCTGAGGAAGCCAGGTATGGTGTTGGATGCCCCTCCTCTCAGCGCAGATGAGGCAGAACCTGGAGGATAGCTGGAAGTTCAAGGACAGCCTGGGTTATATAGTGAATTTAAGACTAGCCTGGACTACACAGTGACACCCTGTCACTTCCACTAGGCTGGAAAATATTAATTTATGAAAGGCAAATGGTGGGTCACAAAGATCTAAAATCAAATCTCTGCTCACCGCTCTTAAACCCTTAGTTGTTTTTTCCCCCTACTGGGGCTTGAACTCAGGTCTTTATACTGAGCTACATCTCCAGCCATTTTTGGTTTTTATCTTGAAACAGTCTCATTGAGTTTCTAAATTGCCCCAGCTGAACTCAAACTTGTGATCCTCTTGCCTCAGCCTCCTGGAATGCTGGGAACACTGGCATGCACCACCACACCCAGCTCTGACTTCATTTTGTCCACACAAAAGTTTTTGCAGGACACTCAGACCTCCAGTGTGGACATGACATCTGAGTCTGGTTTCCTAAGTCTCTTGTAACCCTTGAGGAACATGGGTAATATCAGCACTCAGGAGGCTGAGGCAGTAGGATTGCTGCAAGTTTGAGGCCAGCCTGAACTACATAGAGAGACCCTGTTTTAAAAGAATTTTTTAAAAATTATATAAAATCACAGCAATATTACTATGAGATGGGTGTGGTGGTGCACACCTGTATTCCCAGGACTCAGGAGACTGAGGCAGGAGGATCGTTGTGAGTTCAAGACCAGCCTGGGCTACAAAGTGAGCTCCAGGCCAGCCTGAACTGCATATCAGTCAGCATGGGAGTTTTGACCTGTTCTGTTTCTGACCTGGCCTGGTTCACCCCTCCTTAGGCAACCTGGTGGTATCCGCTCCTGGGAGGTCACCATATTGATGCCGAACTTAGTGTGAACACCCGATCAGCGTAGTGCACTGCAGCCCAGAACTCCTGGACTCAAGTGATCCTCCCACCTCAGCCTCCTGAGTAGCTAGGACTACAGGCATGCGCCACACACCCGGCTGAACTGCATATCGAGACCCTGTCTCAAAAAAAAGACCAAAAAAAAAAAAAAAAAAGAAATATTACTATGATCCTTGTGTTATATATTTTGAGACAGGGTCTTGCTAAGTTACCTAGACTGCCTCTAAACTCATGATCCTCCTGCCTCAGCCTCCTAAATAGCTGAGGTGATAGGTAGATCTATGCTTCCATAACTAGTTATAAGTTCTTCACTTTTTTTTTTTTTTTGAGACAGGATCTCACTGTGAAGTTCAGGCTGGCCTTGAACTCGCTTATGCAGCCCAGACTGGCCTTGAACTTACTTTGATCCTCCTGCCTCAGCCTCCCAAGTACTAGGGTTGTTGTGGTAAAACTGAGTCCAGGAAAGGAGTGACACGTGAGGAAGTCAGGAGGCAATGATCAGCTTTATTTACACCATTGGTCCTGGCCAGGATTAGTTCCTACAACAAAGCCAGGCACTTAGTACCTGTAGGCTAGTACTTTTATATGCTGCATGAGCAGGAGGTACAAAGGCTGGACAGAACAGCCTGGCAGGGTTCTGACCACCTAGCAGCTGAGATCACTAGTTTCAAGGCTAGATGAATGATCATCAGTCCAAAGACTCGATTCGTGGGTATGAAGCTTGGTACAATCAGGCGTCCTGCATATTCAGTTCCATTCTTGTGGTAAGAAAGTAATTAGGAAGCCATGAAGCAGTTACAGAGCTAGGCAGTTTCAAAAGAACAAATTTTTAGGGCCTGGGGATTTAGCTCAGCAGCACAGCACCTGCCTGGCAAGCACAAGGTCATGAGTTTGATTCCCAGTACCGG